GAAGCACCTCTAGACCCCACGTGCTTAACACAGCTATTTGTCCAGCGTTTTCATCAGGCGATTAATCATTTTCCGCCAAATCCTGCCTTTGGACTTTGCGACACAACCTGCGATATGTTGGCAAACTCGTCCCTAATCACAGTAGTGGTGCTGTGCAACCGAAACCGTTAAGGTGTCATTACTAATGGACAAAATCAGCGGAGAATAGAACACAGATTCTTTACCCGTGTATACAAAAAGCCTTTACATGACTACTGATTTTGATTCAGTGTAGGTGTAAGCTATCCATTCTCGCAGAATTCATAACTCTCAAACATGCACATCCAAGAACCTGTGAAAAACAACCACAATTTGTTCGGAAACTTTTCGTGAGGCACCGTAGCTACATTCTAGGTATTAGCAATATTTGTAATGGCTACTGACTGATAGAGGATTGCCAAGAGATCCATCAACCATTTGTTTAAGACCTAGCGAAGAAATAAGAGATACCACTTATCGTTATTATTTATAAGCAAAAAATAATAGATAGGGTATATTGTTGGATTTTGGCAACGTTGCATTTTTAGGATCTGTATAAAATTTGAAGCAGAGATAGTGGCACGTTGACACAAAAAATAATGTTAAAAGACGTTGTAGTAAGACCTTTCACTTGATCGCTCCGCCTACATGCAGCGAAGAATGTGACTACGAAGGCACAGCGCTAGAAATTGAACACAAAATTTTGTTTTAATAAATACATTTCACTAAATGCCATAATCAGGGGTGCTAGATCAAACTGCTTCTCAATGATATATTTTGGAAGATAACCACGTGCTGGTAGCTTTCTTGAGGGCTCTAAGCAGAAATCCATTAATAGGCTAAATTTGGAGACCTTTTTTAGAATGTACCTAAACATCCTACACTCCTAATGGAAAGGCATTAGGAATGTTTAAGTAAGTCATAATCAAAACTTCTAGGATTATTGCTTCTCTAGAGCTCGTGGTTTATGGTGCAGGAAACTCACTTCAATTTTCGAACCTGACAGAGACTATCCAGACTAGGCACTTCCTTACCACGAAAGGAGGTGCGAAATAATATTTAAGGAATTTACATAGGCACTATCATGGTACAATAGTACGGAGAATGCCTCATATACTCAACACAAATTCAAAAGGGTGTGAAACCTTTCATTTAAAGCGAGTTACAACTTTATTTGTCAAGAGTTTGGCCATATTAGAGAAGTATGCTTTTCAAAACCTCGTGACGCTTAAAGGAAGCACTCAGCCCACAGGGAACGGCTTAGGGGTTTACCATGAAGCGTTAATAAAACTAGCATTAGTGCTATCTTGCACGCAAGCGGATCGTCCTGTCGCGTTTACGGATGGCATCAAGCGACGGTCAGCGTCGATTTTAAGAGGTTCTCGACAATAATACCCTTTTATGATGTTTTTAAGGCAGTGAAAGTGTTGGCATCGACGTTTCATCCTAGTGGGGAAGCAGCAACCTCTCCAAAAGTCAAGTAAGTAACCTCTCTCTCTTAAAATGACCACTTTTACCCAAATTAGCCATTTACTTCGGCTTTTGTAATTTTCGGCATAGGATGCGCCTTGCCTATCAATTTCATTCACTTCCTTTTGGCATTAACGAGACCTGCAGCGGTTTGTGGATGTGTACGTGCACCTGTGCAAGGGTAGGACTTAGGAACGGGTGTCGAAGTGTAGATTTACCGAGACGGTAATCTGCTCAGCGAGTCAAGGCGGCAAACGACTAAAAAGTGGAGGATTCTTATCTCATAACTAAAATACAATTCCTGTTTTCGGCTTTAGTAAATCAACTGCTTCTGTGCAAATAGCGCAGCCGCGTGTACGCGTGAGCCTGTCGCAGCTACGCCGAAACGCGTGTGCGCTTCTCAGCCGCCACATTGCGCAACTGATCCCGCGCACTGTTTCCACCATTTGTGACTACTTAAAACTACTTTATTATGATTATAATCCAGTTTCCTGCCTAAGTTTTTCAGAATGCTTAAGAAATCAAGCGTTAGAATTTCCAAATTTCTGAATTTCACAATTTTTGAGCCCCAAAGTGTGGATTCAATATTTCTACAAAATAAAAGCAAATGCATTCTTCTCTCGCCCCTTTACAAGTGCATAGATATCGAATATTTACAATTCTTGCATAGAGTTTAGGCTAAATACTTTTTTAAAAAAATTACTGGATTGTTTTGTAGGAATTGCTTTTGGTGTTGCATGTGTGAGATAAGTGTGATTTGGGTGTGTAGTCAAGGGAGACAGCCGTATGACATTTTCGATGAATTATGGCATGATTGCGTAACTGGAACGCTTGCACAAAAACTGTCTGCGCTTCTGGTTGCAGTTAATTCAACAGAAGTCTGTCAAAACTTGAGGGAGCATCGAGGACGGGAAAAGACTTAGCGACACTTATTGACTTGCCTTGCCTAACTGATGCTGCTGCTTAGATCTACAAATTCGCTGATCCTTTACACGTACAATCTGTGGCTAATAGTACTAGAGGTTACAAAAGTGACTATGAAATTGTGGTGGTAGTCATGGTGCCTGGTATTTTTGATACTCTTATTGTATCTTGTATCTATTCTTAATTGCCAATAGTGCTAAGCACAATTTGGCTTCGATACTAGTAAAATTAACTGGTTCTGAACATCACAAATGGCTTTGCGAATTATAAGATTTTTATGCAGCTTTCCGTCAACTCAAAGTCCTTAAGGTTCACGTGTCCATCAGCTTAAAAATTATCCTAAATTTTGTAAATTCAATGCCAATCTCGTGAGAGCCTTAAGGCAGTGAAAGAACGGCATCACTTCCTTACAGTGAATGCAAAGATGCCTTTGCGCTAGCAAAAATCCATCATTTATGGGCTCTCCTTCGTGAAAGTCCAAAGAAATTTATACCAATTCATACTCACCCCATGAGCTTCCAGGCATCTGAATAATCTAGTTTCCATATGTTTGCGAAGCAAGAAAATAAGGATTTTAGGAGTTTTGCGCCTCAAATTTACGTTCAAGCACCTCATTGCAACTTTGGTTGCCAAATGCCAACTCGACTCTTCAATCGACCGCATGTTGGAGCAAACTCACCAAAAGTACGACGAGGGCTCTTGTCTGTTTCAGATCCCAATCGCCAAGTTGCTCGAATTCTGTGCCCTAAGTATCAGGTATTACAGAATCATCATGGAAAAATATAAACCCAAATAATAAAGCAGATGTTTTGCTTACCACTTATGAAAGTAGGATGCGAAATAGAAATTTTCTGGGCAGTAAATTCATTTCGGTTACGAAAGAGATAGAGATAGGTGTGCAACGCTATTAGTCACTTTTTAGAACACTAAAGATCTTGTAAGCCACCGCAGCTCATGCCAATCGACACAATTTTGTCCGAGGAACAAACAATCGGTTAAAACATCCGCTTTTAGGGGTTTTACATTTCATAAAGATGCCTTCGACAGTGCAGACAATGCGCTTTTAAGAACTCGTGAAATCCGCCCTCTAGAAGGCCCCATTAGTAATCGCAGCATCAGTCGCAACCTGTCCTCATCCAAATTAAAAGGTCATTTTTTTAATAAAATTTAAGCCAATGCATCATTTTTTTTTCCAATCATCACTTAAGGGATAGGAGCACGACCATGTAAAAACGGCTGATTTGCTTGCTTAAGGGAAGTGTTTACAGAAGTGACTGCTGGACTTGGCAAAAAGACATTAGTTTTCCAGGGTAAATGCCTTTGCATAACCTAGAAATATGATTAAGAAATCAAAAAATAAATTAAAAACCTTACACTCTCAGATGATTGTGGGTTAATCAATGCGCACTCAGAAATTCGAAAAGCATGTGAATGGGCGGAAAGGAATTTTCGAATTTCACTCGATTGCAGGATAAGCCGGGATAATGCAACGCGACATTACCTGTAGTAACTCTGATCTACCAGTTGCACATCACGCCGAAATTCTTCCCCAAGAATAAGGTCTATCGTAAACAAGATGCCTCTCTTTATTTCCTTTGTCTTAAAGCATTACTCGGCTATGTGATGACCTAAGTCACCCAAACGAAATACCGAATTTGATAACAAAGGTAAAGAAAATATGTTGGATGAATGACTGAAGGGAAGGATCATTGGTCTGTTTCGATTAAAGTGGGATAAATACAACGCACAAATCAACTGTTTCTGCTTACAAAGTGACCAAAACCTGATAAAAACGTTTCTTAAATTTGTAAACAAGCAAAGAGACCCCACACAAGTCTAGTCAGTTTATTTTGGAATAAAGGGGACAGAGAGTGTTTACATCGTAGTAAAGCTCGACTTTAACCCAGATTATTTATTGATATCTTTGTGGTGACTTCAAGAAAAAACCATCCAGAGGCTTTTTATTAAGTCAGTTACCCCTAACTAAGTCCACTCTTAAAAAATTTTGCTAAGAGTAAGTCGGGGTTGAATAAAAATCAAAACTAACTCTCACATAAAATGCTTTAAATTTTCTTTTGGATTTCCAGCGCTATATGACTGAGGTTTTTCAAAAGTCCTAGAATGAATTTTGAACAATTAAGCCGACTAACCTAGTAACCAGGAGTGTATGATTAACTGATTATATTTGCTGTCGAAATGTGCTTTAGAGTAATAAATCCACCACCAAGAAAACATTATAGTGAATTCATAGTCATAATACAGGGGTAAGCAACTGTCCTAACTTAAACACCCTTTTAAAATACCAAAGCTCTAAGTGTGTTCACCAAATGTAATCAAAAGATGGTCAGCCAACTATCACAGAGCGCCGAAAATAATGACGTCTACGGTCACCACGTGAATAGAAAGAACTTCAGAATCTACACTGTTAAGTGACTGACTGCGCAAATGGAAATAACCAAAACATAAGTGTTATACAGTCGCCAAACGCACATTATGTCAATAGCAAATGCAAAACTTATTTAAAAAAATTTATTAAAATCTGACCAATGTGCATATTGGTTAGCATAAAATCTGACGATAAAGGATTATCATGTCATTGAAAAATATTCAAGTCTTGATTGAAGTTCGGTTATTCGCATATCCTTCAGTTGAAGTAAATGCTGCGTACGCCGAAGCTTAGCATTAAGAATGTCAACTGTTTCTTGAAGCTCAAGGCACTCTTGTACTTTCTGTTCGTAAACTTGGAGCATGTCTTGAGCAGCAATATCACGGGGTCCATTATTAATGTTGGGTTGCCTCCAGGATCGCCGGTTTAGTGACTTTGATACTGAAAATGCCTTATTGGAAGGACTTAGAGATTGCGTACTCTTTTTTGGAATAACTGGGAGGGTTTTTTCACTGGCAGAATTTTCTGTGCGCACGGAAGGAATCCTGCGAAGGCGCTGCAAATTGGATGTTGGCGTAACCACCCTCGGTAAAACGATTTGAGAAGGATGATTCGGCGAAAATCTGTTTTCATTGTCGTTAGGAACGTCTTTATGTTCCCGAAATTTCGAACGCAAAAGTAAAAGTAATTTTTCAATCGTTCCAGGTTGCGCATTGACCAGAGAATCAACGACATCATCTGTTAGTTTAAAAGAAAATTTGGAAAAGACTTTTCGATTCAGTAAATGCCAGTTGTTCCTCTTGCCCTCCATTTTATTGCAACTTTGAAAATTATGAATATCAACGTATTTCGGGAAGAAATGTCTAATGACTTCCGCAACTAACACACCATCAGAGAAATCACGACTTATATTCCTTTTCGGTCGTGATAAAGGAATAGAATCAACCCATGCATATAAATCATGTAGAACCTGCTGATCGAGCTCGTTTATCATTGCAAAGTCGGTAACATTACGCATTGACTACAATCATCTTAAATGCTCCCCACAAAGCTATTCAATTTAAGCGGTAGAGTCAACGATGATAGCAACAAAGTTCAAGGATATAAATCACACTTAATTAGGACTCATAAACAGATGGAACACAACTGCATAGCAAAAGCAAACCCCATACTGTTGCTCCCATTACAACTTTAAAATGGACAGAGCGGCTAACGGATAGCAGTAAGTAGGAACTCAACATCAATATTGTCACAAATTGCCTCAAATAAATAAAGGCAAATGCAACAAATGATGTAAATAAATAAGTAAACAAAGTCACGCAGTAAAAATTATTTGGATTTTGAGGGGGAAAATGTCGGTATTGATTGATGAAATTATAAGCTAATGACAAAATCCCACACTTACATTATTTTATTATGTTTCCTGTATAAAACAAACAAATTGACCTGCTGGCAAATCCTTCAAACCGTGATGTTTATCACCAAGGATGTTGCTTTTCCCTTCTTGTTTTTTAGCATTAATCACGACAGATCGCTCCAGACCTTGGTCTGGAATACTACTCAGAAATACTGGTCTTCAGCGCATAATTAACCACAGCTTTTCCTATAAAGAACCTAATTTGCGTAAGGAAACTGGGTCTGCTTTGACACCGCAGCAAGTTAGTGCTGTTTACCAGAGTACATATTGCCAAAGTACGGGTAGTTGGGGGGCCACTAGCTCGACCAAAAATTCATGCTGTAGTCAGTGTTTTAAGGTCAGTACACAAACCGACAACTTCAGTTATCGAATTTTCCTGCATGCAAGAAAGTGCCTGGTCTTAACTCTAGTGACCCGTTTCTCCAATTCCACAGTATTTAGGGTTCTGTTCCATTTATGAACTACGTAGGTAAGGGCAAAACTCATCGGCTTCATGCTGCTTAAGACCGGAAGATGTTCTGTAACAAATGCAGTAGGCATGCCACTCGCTGACAGTAAAAATCTTGGTACTAAAGCAGAGTCATTCAATAAAAGCCAAGATTTAACCTAGTCCCACGAGACCAATACTTTGCAATTGTACTTACTCGCCAATTTGCTATCAATTTTGTGTCGCTCATTTATTCACCTGGGTTCTACTAGGTTGCTAAATAACTAAATATAGTAACGCCTGTTTGCAAAAGTAACATTTTCATGTAGATACTATGGGTAGCTCCGGGATAGGCTTTCAATTGGCTAAGGTAAGGTGTTGCTTCAGTTGTGGATAGCCTTAATGCGGAACACTGGACTGAGTTGATTTCCAAAAGCAGGAGTCATCTGCAACCCTTCAGCAAAAAGTCCGTGGCAGATATTCTTCTTCCGAGACGTCAAGGCCTAATCGTCACTCGCAAAAATTAGGCTGTTTTTGTTTATAGATCGAGTTCGCTTACCGCTGCCATCAACACAGTGCCCCGAATCTTCCCTAAAATAGTAACCAGCCAAAGTACCAAGGCTCCTGATATAGCCTGAAGTTTGTATCACAAAGCAGAAATGTGGTTTGTAGGGACTATATTGACCACAAATTTAAGTGCAAAATTAGTAGGAACTCAAGTCACCACGGCTAATCATTCCTTGGTTTACTTCATTTGATTAAGTTTTTCAAGCCTACCCATAGTTGTTTAAAGTTAATTTACAGTTTAAAAACCTGTTTTTCTGCAGATACATCATGGTTTATCTTATACGATCGATGAGCAAAATGTGCAGCAAGACATTTATATTATTTTTAACCAGTTCTTTAGTGGTAACGCTAGCATAAAATTTGTATTTAAAAGCCAAAATTTTTCGTTTGTAAGCCTCTTTACTGTAATTTGTCTGAGTCACACATGTGTCCTGACATTATGGGGAATCCGTGTTTGGGTAAATTCTTTTGGGTATACTGGCGCTCCTTTTGAGTGGTTTTTCGGCCGTCTTTATGCCTTTCGTGGTTCCACTTGTGTAGAGGAAGTGCTAAAAGCGTGGAATCCAAGTTTTCAAGTTACTTTCGTAGCAGATATAACTGATTCTATCAGCTTAACGCTGTTGTTCGGCTGGATATGTGTACGAGGCGTTACACGGACCCTGTATATCTTCAGTTCATTTGGGATGCTATCGAATTCCCATCACCTGATAGGAATTGTGATTTTGATTTTATATTGAAGTTTGTTTGCAATGAACGTGACCCAAAATGCGATGCTGCAAAGCTTCGTGAACAACTGGAAAATGCGTTACGGGACAAATGTATAACTCTTTCAGGGTTGCGATACAAAAAAGTAGACTGGTCGTGCATTTCTCCATGCTCGGGACACGATTCGTAAGTCTCTATCATAGTTACAGTCACATCGTAGATACTGCTTTCAATGTCACCTTCCTGGTCCTGTAGTTGATTGCCCAACTTGCTTCAGAGTTTATCATGAGAGCTGTTTCAAACGTGCTTTTGAGGCGAACGCGTTCATCACTTTCCCAGACGAGCATTATCAAGGTCCCGATATCTCTAATGGGGTCTCTTCCTCTTGTCTAACCTGTAGACGCCTTGCTAACACCCGCTTGGACAAAGAAACAACGTCTTTTGATCTCCGCTCTATTTATTCTATAGTACTTGAGAAAGTTAAAGGCAAAGCGCCCTGGCGTACTCTTCATACAGTCGGTTATGTTGACGAATTTTATCGTAACCGATACTTTTCTTTTAAACCAATGAATACTCGAATCATTACTGACAAACTGAGAAATGACCCTTCTTCGGAGGGTTATCCCAACCGCACTCATATTTTAGCGGATTTGGATCTTCTGATTCACAATGCAGCTGTTATTTATGGGTCGAAAGCCGACATGACCAACACCGCACGTCACATACGATCACTCCTTCAAAAGGAGCTACGAGAATCTTCGCTCTGTGTTGACTGCTACCTACGCTCAAAGGGTGGAAAACCAGATCAGAGACAGATTGTGGAGGCCTGTCGAAAGCCCCATAAAATGATCTGGTTTCAATACAGTAGCTGGTCTTTTCGACCTTGCAAGGTACTTTACCAAACCAACGATGGTTATGAGGTTATTTGCTTTGACGGGCGCAGAGAGCGACAATTCGTACCGTTAAACAATGCTGTAGCGATGACATTCTCGGCCTCTCATTTGGGAATGCGATTCACCGCCCCTCTTAAGCGTGCCCTCGTTGAAGCGCGGAGATACGCAGAAAACCAGCGCAGGATCACACCCGATTTCACTCCAGGAGAGGGTTTGATGCTTTGTGACATCCCCGCTGAGTCTATAGAGTCTGACTACCTTGAGAGTATCAATCATACCAATAACAAGTCTCCTAGAGTGGGGTCAAAAAGACCTCGGGCCCATACCAAAAAGAAGTCGTCGTCGCAAGCTAGGCACTTTTTAGCCACAAATGCTGGAAGTAAGTTTTCACTTGAACGCTAAATGTTCTTATTGACTATTTCTAGTGCTAATTTGTCCGTTTGCTTAGCTACTAGCAAAACTGAGGCCGCCCTTGATAAATCTCGTGTTCCTACTCCTTCGCTCTCAGCATCATGTGATACTCTTCGTCCTGTCTCAGCCGTTCCACTCGCACATCGTCTTTCGAATAATAAGCACTCCTCTTCCCTCAGTGACAGCGATAACGATTCAAGCATCTCTAGCTGTAGTTTGAGCACTAGTGCCTCTGGTAGCAAACGTTACTTGTCAAAGCGCCCAAATCACCGTTTGGTAGCCGTTTCTTCCGCTGCAAAAAAGGCTGTGCTCTCCTCCCGCTCATCGGACTCTACAACACCTGCCACCACAGTTGGTGTTGCTGCTACCGCTTCTCAACCACCATTACCAAAATCTTCAGTCGTGCCTTCAACTCGACCATTTCTAAGCAGGCCAGATGTCACAGACAGTGACTCAGATTCCGCCTCATCTCCTCTGGAATCCTGTTCATCTCGACTGGCTGGGAAGTCCTTGCCTTCTTCAATTCGCAGAAATCGAAGTATTAGCAGCAGTAGTAGCACTGTAAGCAGTGGAACTGTGGTAGAAAGTGATTCTTCTCTTGTGAAAAATACTGGTTCTACGCTGAATCGGCGAAAACCTGGCAGTGCCAATAACGAAATCAAAAGGCCACCAAAATCTTTGAAAATGGTGAGCTTATCATTTGCTTCACAGTATTGGTAGATCATGGTTATTTCATATTGCTCAAGTATTCAACATTTCCTTTTGATTTGTGCATTTGATTTTTAGGAACAAATGGAGTTTATTTCGGAGAAATCTAACTCTTGTCGCCCAAAGGATGTGTCTCCTAGTATTATTACGCAGGAAAATGCGGCGCCGACTGGCGAGATCAGCAAAAATGCCAGTGTCAAGAGAGGTTCGTTGATTTCATGTGTTTATTCGCATGAGACATAATGATGCTGATTTCGTTTTTATTATGTTTTAAGTCGTTTTTTCACATAACTATTTGAGTTTGTCGTTCTATAAATCAAATACTCTATATTCGTCTGATGACTGCTTTTTTGGGGTTTTAACTGTGATAGTTTCATTGGAATTTATGGGTAAAATTGCTTTGAGTAAAGCAGCTAGTAACTGCGACTTCTGTTGTACTTTAAAAAGTACTCTCACTACGTGTTTCTGTATATAAATAGCAGTTTTGCGTGTTCGTTAGAGAGGGTGAACTCAGCTTTTATTGATTTATCTGCAGGCAGGACGGTTGGTGGTCCTTCTGGCAGCGCCTCAAAACCCGCTTCAATGCCGCGCATAACAGTGGAGAACAATTTCATGAAGCGCAATCCCCTTCCTCCAGTGTGTACCACAACCTCATCTGTCTCTTCTGTGTCTCCTGCTGCTCTCTCATCCAGTTCCGGTATCGGTTCAAGTGTCAGCGGCGATACGAAATCTGTAGAAACGTCTCCCGGTGACTTGCAGTGCAATGGACATTCTGGTACTACGCACGGCGATTCTACAGCAATCAAATCTGAGGTTTGCTAGTCCCCCGTTAAGTATCACCTACTTCCCCAGTTAGTTTCTCACTTTACCTTCTTCCTATTTAATTTTCATCTGGGGTTATGTCAGTTGTATCGACTTTTGATGCAACTCGTTCATGACTTCTGCTGCATAGCATTGGTATTGATGCACATATCCTTTCACTATAGAGGCCTATTTTTGATGCTTGAAATTCCTGAAATGAATGCTTGCCGGGTGAAATTGTAAATCGGTCTTTTATGGAACTTCCTGTTGGTAAACTAATGTAGTTGCTTGAGTAAAGATCACTTTCCTACCAAAGGATCGTATTCAACGTTCAATGAATGAACGTCTTGAAGCTTTGACCCTGGAGCGCGACATAGCTAACAGGCGACTCCGTGAGTTGGAGCAGTACATTAGGGATCTAGAACAAAGGCATGAGAAGGAGATTCTCCAAACAAAGAGATCGGCTTGGTGTGTACGCTGTCTAAAGCAGGCTCGCTACTACTGTTGCCCTGGTGTGGCCTACTGTTCTGTCGACTGTCAGATGAAGGATTGGACCATGGGCCACAATAGAGTTTGCACGCACAGCACCAATGGTTCCTAACTTCGCAAATGACGACCAACGAGGTTTCTCCGTCTGATTCAGCATTTCCTGCAAACTTTTGAAGCTAAATTTTCCCTTCTTTTTTACTTTTATTCCCTCGCTGTACATATTCTTTTAAGCACCGTAAATGGTCTGTACTGCCTTTGATATCCATCCCTTAGACCCCCAACAACTGTGATCCCTTACCGTTTCCCAAAATCCATTGCGATTGTAGCGTGGCTTTCCCGAAACTTTGACGTATTGTTAGTGTGTATATATTCATTCACTAATACGCTACTGTACCATGTGATAACATGGCTTCCCAATGTGGCTAGGTCGGATTTTAGGCCAATCTATGCTTTCCTTCTCATTGCCACCACCTTGGAACGTAGAGCATCCGCCTTTACGCCCTCGACGGCCATGTGTTGTTTCCCTTCCCTTCTCTCCCTTTCCCTACTTTCAGCGTATTTAATTACGCTCTAGCGCACACTTATTGCAACGATCCGTTTTTTCCAAAAAAAAGATTTCGGTTCAATAATTGGTTGCGTCTTCTAGCTACCTTGTGTCGTCTTAGAGCTTTCGTGTTCAAGGTTGGATCGCGTAGACGCATAACTTAGTTTACCACAAGGTGGGTACTGGTTTCGTCTCCATTCACTGTTATTCTCCTCCCGCTGTGTTACTGTTGCACCTTGCGTCAAATTGCGGGTCGACTCTATGTTGGTGTGTTGTTTCGATGTGGTAAAAATGATTAATAATAAGCTTCTTCAGTTTGTTGCTGTGATACTTCGGAGTTCCTCGCGTCTGCTGTGTCATCTTGCTGGACTATTCTACGTGGGGTGGATTTCAGACTGCTTCGACAGTTAACTCTCGTGAGTGATAATCGTGACCGTCCGCTTTCCCCTCTACCAGCTGTTAGTTTTGGCATCTGGGGTGGGAGATTTTCCAAATATTTGCTGAGGTGGTAATCTAGTTTGACATTATGACTAGAAGAGATGGTTGCTATCGTCAAATGAGTTTTTTTTTATAGGTACGTGCTGGTTTTAGTCGACAGTTATATCATCCTTTTAGCGGTGAGGAATTACCGTCTCGCTCACCATTACCTTGATCGGGTTTGAACGTAACCTGTGCTTACCTCCATTAGGATTTTCAAATTTACGAAAATCGTCAAGATGCAGACGTATTTGATGGTAATGCCACATGAAATGTTTTGTAATGTTATGCTCGATCTGTGATGGGTGTGCGCTTGACTTTCAATTATGTCCACTGTGAGAAATGGTATTTGTGCCTTTTAACTCAAATTCTGGAGAGAATGATTGTATCACATCACATGATATAAGGTGACCAGATTTGGGGGTCTATTGGAATCAAAACTCGACAACCTATCATTTGGGAAACCCGTGCGGGGACGCAAATCGAGGCACAGATATTCCGCGTTTAAGTTGTTATTTTGCTTGCTCTCTAGACGTCATCACACCATAGCAAATTACTACTACCTACCTTTAATTTCAGTAAAATCGCTTAAATTCCTTTAATTTTGTAAGCCTCTAGAGCTTAAAGTCATTGCCACTTTTGCTGTGGTTGACAGCCAATCTACTTTGACAGTAGCCATCTTTTGGGTATTGACACAATGCAACTAAGGTGTTTTCAGGTAACGTGGTCTTTCTGATATAACTAAGTACTGATCAATCACACAAACTGTCTTGGAAGGCAACTTAACCATTACACTTAATGTGGGATGCTTATATATTTCAGCATTTATAAATTAATTATTATTAAAAAATGATCTATCGATACCTTTTACCAGCACATTCGCATTTTTGGCATATTTAAATTGCCTTTTCCGTTGCCGCAGGCCGTATGTCACTTCTTAGCCGGTAGTGTCGAAGTGCAAAAGTCGTCTGTTGTGCGTCTAGTGAAACATTCGGTGTGTGGAGATAAAGAGCCGATATGAATTCGAAGTTTCGTCCTCGCAATTAAACAAAGAGTCACTTAACTTCTTGCATAGTAGCCCAAAACTTCTAAAATTCCTCTACAAAATAACCTTTTCTACAGCATTAAGGCTGCATTTTTAGGTTTTCACTATGGTGATTCATGTTGCTTTGGAAGCTTCCGGCAGGTGTTAATAACTCGTTTATCGCCCCTGAACCATGCAAAGTTATATATTGCATGCCTCTTAGGCGATGTCGGGGTACAAATCATGAAGTAAGAAGCGACCTCTACCACTCTTTTCCCTCCAACGTAAAATCTCGCTAATAGCGTAGTATCAAACTGACTTCCCATGAAAGTGCAAATATTTAGCTACATCATTAGTCCACCTATGAAAAAAGATCACAATTATGTATTTTGAAAATCTCGTAAATGCCCAGGTAAACTAGCCACAAATATCTGTGCGGAACCAGTAGCAATGGCAGAAATGAAAGAAGGAAGTCTACGAATGAATTACCTTACCTACGATACAACTCGCGACAGACCTTCCATCACACCAACCTCTCCCACACCCTGTTGAAACCCGCGTGCCGCATACAAACTTCAGTGACCTATGCCCCTTCATTACAACCTAAATTCTGTGTGAGAGGCTGAATTAAGCGCTGATGGTAGTGGGAGAGCACCGGTTTTCTTCGCCTTCCTTATGCACCTTTATAGTGCATTGTTGGCCTTTGATTGCCTACCTTTCTAACAACTGTTATAGTTGCCTTCATACATTCCTTTATGCATTCACTTTATTTCACGAATCTATAAGACCCTGTAGATGCTTCCACATTGAGTGTGTGATAGCATGTATGTCTGTTTTGCGTTTATTAATGTTGCGGTTGTAGCTTCATGCGAAAATAAAGGCAGCTTCTTAATTAGCCCGTTAGAAGTGGATTGGGAGGTAGTCTACTACGCCTCCAGCGAGAAGTGTCTTTACCTGTCATAATATAGGGCTATGAATACGTATTTCTTCCATTTGGCTTGATTATATTTATTAACGCATAAAAAAGTCACATGGCTGACTTTTGAAGCACTAACAACTCTCCCATTACACGGACAGGAAACGCTTCCACTCCACAAAATCTCCGTGAACATATGCTACTTCCCCCAGTCCCAACATGGAATTAGAAGGATATCTGAGCCATATAATAGCCCTCTTTACCAGATTTCTGGGTTATCAATTCGCGATGCATAAGCATGAGTGCAAAAAGGACATTTTTTTCTTGTGATGCGCATACTCTTAGCCACAATATCTAAAAGATTCACCATGTGGGGGTAATGCTCAGAAACTTCAGTTATTATTAATGGGAAATCCATTGTGTGAAATTGAGCGGATAACTAGCCTCAGCGAGGTTGGACAATGCACGATTTCCCAATGGTGCACTAGTAACGGTCCACACAATGGGCTGTGATTTCACGCACCTTTGTACTTGGTGCCTCCTGTGTGCAGCGCGTAGTAAATAGCTTGATTAAGGAGTTTGTCCGCGATGCGTGACAGCCCTCCATGGGGGGCCAACCGGAGGGATGGGCCGACGTCTTTGTCACCTACCGCCACTCATTGGCCCACAAATTAAGTGAGCCGAACATCAAAGGGGCAATATCCGCAGTTGTTATGGCCGCGCAACATAGTGCGTGCATCATGCCATAAATAAACGAACGTAGCACAGCATCACAGCAGCTTCCTTCTAATGTAGTGGAGCGGGAGACTCGTGTTTGACCAAGCACTAAGACTATCACAGGGCTAACATTTAGAAAGTTACTTAACTTACGACCTTTTAGTCCTAGGACACATTTCAATGCTTAAGTAAGGATGTAGATTCTATGAATTTAAAATATTCGAAGTGATACCATTGCATTAATGCTGCCGCAAACTTAAAGTAGCTATCGAGACCAAACCATTATTCACAGATGCCTGTCAATTTCCTTACGCGGACTTTAACCATCGATGCATCAACCTAGTATCCCGCAAAAATGAGTTTTTTTTCGAAGTATCTAATGCGTCTAGAAAAGTTACTGATTCCAGAGGATTTGAAATTACAGAGTGATAACGGAAGTCTACTACAGGGTAACTTTAAAATTTTTGCATTAATAAATCTGATTGTGCGTATGCGTAACCATGACCCCATTTGCATTTTGGATAACAAAATGAAATTCTAAATATTAAAATTTTCGACTCAAGAATGAACAATAACGTCTACTAATATGTCAGATTAATAATATTTTTATGCTGATGAAGCAGAGTCTGGTTTAATCACCGAGACGTATATTTTATTTCTACAAATACTGCTACTGATATGAAGGTCAACGCGCCGTCGTGCCTATCAAGCTAAAGTGGTGCACTACTCGGCGGGCAGTAGACAACTGACAAAAAACCCTAGTGTCGTAGGTTCCCCTCTCAGCGCATTGACTCAAATCAGCACCGATGTCACCGCGACGGCGTGTAACGTTGTTTTCCTCGCCTACCTCTCGCTCCCGCCTCCTTCGTCTTACCCTGCCCACCCCAGACCGAACCGCACACAAACTAACAGGAATGCCCGCTTGTTTCTGCGTTTATGCAAGGGCCTAGACAAGAGAGCGCTGTGCCTTCGTCTTGCCGCATGTGTAAAATCCGACTTTGGCCGATGCCAGGCTGTGAATACGTGTGTGTGTGTGTTCGATTATCCCGGGTGGGACAAACACGGATGCAACAGAGGAAATTTTGAAGGGCACAATCTAGTGCATGCGTACATGCACACCCGTAGACACATTAGGGGGACTACGCAGCTGCTGCAGTGGCCAATGGGATTCGCCTTTGTTTAATAAAGGCACAGGTAGTTTGGAAAGCGATCGCAGGAAAAAATACCTCAAAGGCTTGAACAATTGGCAATTCCTCTGGAAGAGTTTTGAGATGGCATGCATGGGTAAAGTACCAAAGTAATGATGAACTAGTTTGATCACATTTAACCTGAACCATATTACAATGCAGTGGGGTGGCGGTAAAATGTGTAAGAAACCTAAACCTATGTCCCTAAAAGGTGAAATAAGTGAGCTCAATTAGTATTTGAACCATAGAGAGGTTCACTTTTGTTTGTCCATTCCTAATGCAAACACTCTGGGAAAGACATGTCTTGGTATTTTGATGGAAGTAACTAAAAATGGTTCCATTTATATTAATTGACCTTAAAGGCTACCAGTTTGATTATTTTTTTCTGCTAATAAGAGGTGCAAAATCCAGCCAAACAAACTTATTATAGGTCAACACTCCTCCTAGGTTGTACATTTGTCAGAAAGTGTATGTTGTTTTGAAAAATGGGGGGATTCTAAAGTCACCAATATAGAACCTGAGTGAGGGGTCAAAATTTAGGGGAACTTGCGCAATATGCACAAAAGGCAAAGGTTAGCGAGACCACTTTCTCGTTATTCCACGCATAAGTTTTCTTCTCAAAATTTTTCTTAGCCTCAACCGTCCTACCACGCAAAATGAAGACACGAATACGGCATTAAAATTATGCGGACTAGTTTCTGCATCAAAATTAAACAGAAGACAGGAAAAGACTTGTCTATTCGGATTGCATAGCACAAGGAATTTGTAATTTACTAAGGCTCAGTTTTCCAATTTTATACGGCCCTAATGAAACCGTGTGAAATTTCTCCCTTGAATCGAGCCAACTCGCGTTCGAGGAGCGGTTATTTTCTCTCTTTCACATGTTTAAAGTACAAATAAAAAAAGTACCATCCAGTAAGTTGCCTTTTACACTAATTACATAATTCGCACTTAGCATACAAATTAGTAAACAATTTTTACTACCAATTGCCATTCAGTTACCAATATATGAAATACTTGGGCTGCCATCTGGTGTTCAGTTAGTAAACAAAACAGTCAAAAGCCAAGGCCAAATTGCACTTTTTTATAGCAGCGAGCATACTTTTAAACTAATGTGGTTGCCCACCAGTCAGTCATTGTTTAGGTGTTCATTAGTAAAACTAAATTAAATAAACGATTAGGCATTACTTGTCGAACTCTGTTATTTTAGTTACGCAATAAGTTACGCACTTTTCTGCTATAGCATTCCAATGAGCAAGGAATTCTTAAAGTACCGATTAAAATTATGCTCATCCAGAACGAAAATTTAGCGTTCTGATGATTAATACAACTGTTTTCAACTACCTCACACTGCGAACATAGTGCTTACTCACTCTACTGATTCGAGACGTTTGCGGAAATAGACGAATGACAATTTTCCCAAAAAATGACAATGTCCTCAATAAAATTTTCTCAAGAATATCTCCGCATAAGTCTTTTGTGAGCAACTGTCAAGACGGTGATTGTGTTGCATGCGTTTGCGTGCGTATTGTTATTTGCACTTCCGTTCGGCCTTGAGGTCAGGTTGCTCTTGTCAGAGGAACTCCGTGTGACCATCATTATCGAAGACACAGCACACAAGACACGTATTTATTTGCGAGGAAGAACTCTTCCCTACAACAAGTGAGTGAGTTGGGAAAGCAAAAAAAAATTGTGCTTCCTCTAATTTTGTCGACGTTTTCCCAAGATTTATATTTATGTTTTATTCTTTACTTTGTTCAGGGAATAAATAAATTTAAGCAAAAAATGTCATTAAAATGGACAATTTTAAGCAGCAGAAGTTCAATATATTGAGGTTAAGAATGATATCACAGAGTGATTTACCACTGCACCCTTTCCAAGGTCGTGGTGCTGTGCCTCGCGCACTACCTGTGGTGAACGCGAAGTGAATTTATTTACCTTTGGTTTGAACGTTTGCGCAAATTTACGGTAACCTTCACCGAGGTCTGCAGACATCTAATCATCGATGCACAATACGTCTGGACCACCTGGATAGGTTTTCTCATAGCTAGAAAACATGCATCCAGTATTTGTCATACTGCCACACACTTTGCGACGGTGGTCACTGAGGGCCGGTGTAATTGGCTGTCAATTTACGGAAAAGCACCTGACCGAATTAATAAACTAATGAGTTTTCTGGAAAATTCCTGTTGGAACAACACATTTAATCTAATTTGAAGTGCTGCATAAATGCACACTTTTGTTGAACAAATTCCCTTGAACTTACGGTACAATATGAATAGCTTATCTAAGGCTCAGAACCACATTAAATGTATAATTTAGTTATGAGAGAATGAATACTGCCACATTTGATACAATACTATGTGTCATCGGCTAGGATTTGACGAAACAGCGACTCCTTAAAGGAACTGATCTAATTTTCTCAGTCGTGATCATATAGCTGAACCTAGCGATTAAAAACCCTTCGGTAAGTAGGAACTTTCTTCAAGACTGGCCTTCTCTAAAGATCTGTTCCATAAATACGAATTTTTTACAGCTATTGACATAAGACAGCTTAAGATAATTAGAACTACTTGGCTCCACGAAAAACGGAAAGGTATTTTTTGCAAAACGGTGTAGAAAATCTAGAAATAGAAGCCACACCTTACACTACTGAGATAGGCTTTTGTAAAAATTTGTGCGTACTTATGGTACAAATCCAGACTGTGAGATGATTTTACCCAAACAAGGCTTGATGCATCGAACAATTCAAATCTTAGTCTCATCTATTCTAGCTTAGCAACAGCCACACATTACATTAATAAATTAAGTTATAATTACTAGAAGAACGAGCGACTCCGACAGGTCGATAGAACCGTTGATCGTAAAGCACCCCCGCCTACCCTTTCTTCAAAAAAAAGGAAATTTTCAGATTCCCCTTATGCTTAAAAACTTATCTTTAGCATAACTGCATTTGCATACCTTTCAAAGCTAACAGTAAGAGTTGTTTACTCCCCTCATTTTCTACTGTTTGGTTTGAGTCGTCAAGAAAGTGCAAATTTGTCAGAGATCGGATATCAATTTTATTTTTCTCCTACATGCACACACACGCACACGTGCTACGGCAGTGAAGATATGGCGAGAGAATCGTCGTTACGCACAGGAGTTAGCATAACTACGGTGCGCGCGTGCGTGCGACAACTCCAAGCGTCACAGCCTGGCTCCACACGCCTCACCTAGTGGCACGCACGCAGGCAGGCACGAGGAGGCAGCGGCGGCGCTGCAGCGATGCTCACGTGAGCTTGCGGGAGAGCAGCCCACATGGACGCTCGCGCTGCCTCGTGAGCCGCCCGCTGCTGCCGCCGCAGCCCCCACCGCCGATCGACTTATCAACATGCGCGCATTTCTCGGTCTCTGTGCTCGCGCACGTTGTCGTTGTATTGTGCAACTGAGGAAGATATATGGCTCTAAACACTGCACACTACCTGGAAACGCTGTCAATCGCACGTTGTGAAATTGCAAGTGATTTCCTCGCCTAGTCAACAGTACTTTCTAGTCTCTAGTATTAATAATTCGTCGAATGAACAGTGCCTGGGTAAATCCCCTGACAAAAATGACACCTATCCTATCAAAACAGGGTGATGGGTTTTATTGGACGAATGTGTTTTTCCCAATCGTATCCTGATTAAACATTTCAGCTACATTAAAATGATATTAAAGCCTATTTTAGTCGCAGAGTTTAGGCACTGAGTTTAGTGGAGGAATAAGAATGCTACTTATTCGTGTGGATATTTCTTCGATTTAAATCGTTTAGACTAATGTGTATCCTGATACCATTGGTCTTTTACGATAGAAGCATTTTATAAAAGATTATACATTAGGGTACTGGGGAAAAAGATAGCTAAAGAACCCTAGTTTGTCACGCTTTTTGCTAAAGACGTAGACGTTCCAATTTCTACTTGATTGCGTCTGGTATAGCAATGTTTTATTCAAAATCAGGGCCATTTGGAAACACCTTTTCCTATTCTACTAAAAGAAACTTTGGCTAAAAGCAAATGCAAAATATGATAATTATGCGAAGCAATAAAAAACGGTGATAGTGGTTAAGGATTTGTATGGTTCTTGTGCAGTCATTGACGTCAATTTGATAGAATTTCGCTAAGAATATGTAAAATCCAGGTTCAGACAGTCCGTAATATAGAGACATATACATTCTTTTAAATCATTTCAATTACCCGTTCACCACTACTTCACACTTTAAAAAAGCAAGATTCAATTCAGTCTTTTAATGCCGGGTAGTATTAACCTACTGCGAGTGGGGAGTAAAACACGATTTTCAGGGAGCATTGTCTGGCTAGTGGAGACCAATTACAATTATGCAACAAGATTCTAGTTCATACGAGCGTACGAGAAGAGATTAGAGTGTAAAGGTATTTCCAAGCCCACAAAACGCCGAATGCAAAAGTACACCATCAACATTTTAGGCTGTAGAATAATAAATGGGTAACTTGGTTCATATATGCAGGAATAAATGTTTGAAAAATGAGGAAATAATAAGTAGTCCTAACAAATAAGATTTAGCCACCCAGTGCTCACCAAAACTGGTTTAATCCCTAGTTGGTAAGCAAAAAATTCGGGATTTATAATGGTGTAGTTTAACTAAAATAATCTAAGAAGCTGGTTGATGGATTTATCATACTTCATGAAGCGAGACAGTTAGTGATGGGGTTAATCATAAAGCAGAGAACGGTCCGATAAATATTTTTAAGGGAAAAGTAATTACTGTGAGACTGAAAAACTATCAACATAATTCGGCTTTGGAAGTGAATGGTTTTACAACGTAAATGAACCGTGAAAGCAAGTAATTGTTTTTGTTGCTTTATTTTGTACAGTTAACATTAATTTTACAGTATAATTTAGCATGGTTTTTAAAGCAAGAATTGAATAACTATAGGAAGCTTCTTATATATTTTGTTTTCAATAAAATAAGTCTCGCTTCGGATTCCACTTATACAAGGTCTTTTGCCTACGTAAGCAAAATTCCAGTCCTAGTCACTCCTTCCACTGGATTGCTTATATTTCCTAACTGTCTGTTTTAATTCGCATATGACCGTATTGTTGTCTTGATACCACTTAAATGTGTCAAAAACTCAAAGTGGAGGATGAAGTGAGACGGTGTACTATTGCCATTCCAAAGTGGAAAAATTTCTCCCAGTAAGTTTTGCGATGTAAGGTCTAGCGCTGTCTTTTAAGAACGGGATTTTCTTACCACTAACTGACTGGTTTCGGCTCTTTTTGAAAAAGAATTTTCCCCTGCATGGCTTTGAGTTGCATCTTCTTGGTATATCTCGGGAGTCAAATTGTTTAAACCATTTCCACCAATCCACTCACTCCGAGTTAAACTCGGTTCGTAAAGCAGACGAGCTCCAACCACATCAGGCTCAAATGACCTTTTGTGATGGTTCAAAATGAAGAAAAGTAGTACAGGGCGCAATCAAGATATCCGCAACGATAAACTGACAATTCAAAGGAATTGTAATGCACATAAGCGATCGCGTGAATTTTACAAGTCAATACAAGTTGCAACAAGTCATTGCAGCGAGCTATACCAGAAACCTCACGAAAGTTATTGGTTTCCATATATGAAAATGCATTAAATTCTTGGTAGGCAGTTAAAAAGTCAAAGTAACACTGAGTTCGATAGAATTATTTTGAATGTTCTGAAAACATTAATGCTTGCGTAATCCCATCTTCAACAGTGGCGTAAAACCCTCTCCTTTAGAAATAATATCAAGTTTAATGAGGCACTTTTTCCTCTTGATTCTTATTTCATTAATATGCTTGCAGTCAGCAAATTTTAAAACAATGCTGAATCTACTAGGGAACAAAGGTTAGCGATGAAATACTAAATCTTAACATCTGTCATGGAAACAAACTCGTCAATCCTGCATTGTTGTCTACGTAGTCAAATTAATGCAGAGCCTATCAACTTATCATATCTTAAAATAGGTCACTGAGGCACGTTACATAGTAAACACTCAAAACGACAGGCGGCGCGATCTGACTAAATAATGAAATGATATTGAACGTCACTGGCATGGATAGACATTCAGTTTTTCGGAGGTTGATCAAACCGATTGGTAGCCTTAGGCATTATATACGAGCGAGTTGAAGCACAGCCGGATGAGGATCTTGGCTGCTTTCATTAAAAGTATTTACCGGCGTCATCTGTGCGAAATTTGGCGCATGGAATGACTCACTGCAGCAAGCAGCGTGCCAAGTCAAAACTAAGGTAGAGGCACACACACACGCGCGCCTACACACTTATGCAGACATAGATACGCAGAGACGCCGTAATTCCTGAATTTTCTGTTCACAGACAGTGAAATCAAGTGGCAGGTAGACAGGTAAGCAAGATAACAAACAGAGAAATAATATACAGGTAAAAAATAAACATGCTTATTTTTCCACGAGGATAATCAAACAGACCTTTTGCATAGGAGAGTCGATGGTGAAGATAACGAAAACCAGCAAACATTCATTAGGTCTAAATCGTCCGTTCGGTCAAATAATCATTATTTGTAACAAAATATTAAAATGCTTATTGTTATTAAAGTATGTTTAAAACGGCTTATTTAATCAGTAACAATTATTGATATCAAATATGTTGAATCTGTATTTCCTTGATGATTCATTTTGTCAAGTGACGCATCTATTTTTGAAAGCTGACAAAGCTTTCACGGTCGTGATTCATCCTAACGAATCCGTCAAACCACTTAACGTGAATGGTTGTTTGATAAAGCGCCACTGAGGCAATTGGGAATAAAAAATGCCTTTTTGGTGAGCAAACATTGTTGTGATAAAAACATTTTAAAAACAGCGACCAAAGCTCCCTCTTTTCTTGCAAGAGATGAACAATGTAGACCAAATGTTATCAAAGTAGTGTGAATGAATATTAACGACAGGAGGGTGAGGTGAGTACTATCATGGCTCGAACACCATGCCACGTAGAACGGAAGTACCACCTGCTGAGACTCAAGTGCATGTTATTTAAACAAAGCAATGAATCACTGGATAAATGCCTAAAAGTTAACATGAACTGCCATAATTGACAAATTGGGCCTCCCTGTATCTACTGCTAAAGAATTTTAAGTGATAACCAAGTAAAAGAAGGTCAGTTAAATTTGCATACCACAGTTGATTTGTCCAGAATTTTATTCCCTGTTTCAAATTCTTGATTTTACTTAACAACATTTGTGCGACACAGTGAGAGTACATTCAAGTTCTAAACATTTTCGGAAAATTGCTTGCAGTCATTGACCTCACCTTCAGGGAAACTGGAAGCTAGGTCCTAGAATGGGAAAGTGCCTTATCTGAGAGGTAGATTCGAAAATCGCGCCAGATTTAAGGGATGGTTTGGCTCTAGTAGCAGGATTGTGCCAGTTCTTATAAACGCACTACCGACTCTATTTCACTAGCAGGTAGTGCAGGCTACTTCTGCAAGCACATGCCCTCAGACACGCAAAAAGTTTGCCGAGGAAAGGCTCACTTTTTTAGGCTCTTTTGATCATTATATGACGTTGTAATTTTTGAATGCTAAAAACTACAACATTGCGGCACATTAATAAAATGCACCGTTTCGAATTTCAAGACTTAAATGGCTTGAAGATAAAACAAAGCTGTTTTAAAACCGAGGAAAGCATGGATTTTTAGTTCTCGACAGAGTGAGAATTATTGCATACAAGATAATTTAACAACTTATTTTACATGAAAAGCAAAGCTCTAAAAGGAATAATAAATTATTTCAAAATATTAGCCAATAGAAGCAGTCGACATTTTAGACTAGAATTTTAGTGGAAGAGAAGCGGAAATACTAAGTTAAATAGAATACAGGAGTACTTATCGCCACTTTAAGAGCTTTGTCAGCAGATCACAGAAAGCGCATGGTCAATAATGGATATTTCACTGTATTGCCTTCTGTGGTAAAAATTTGTCACCAAAATTGCTCCCGAAGAAACGTGACATGGGACTCTGGAAGTAGCTTTACAGAGAATCTGAAGGATTAAGTGGCTATATGGCATCAATATAACTCCATAGTACCTCTGTACCAGTCGATTGAGCGGTCGCCTGGTTTGAGGATTGCCCTTAATGCTCCCCATGACCACTCCCCTATCAGGACGGCTATAAAGCCGTTGGGTGTATTGCAAAAGCTACATCCAACGGAGGCGGCATTTGATTTTTTTTCATTACTGAAAATAGAGTTTCAAATGGTTTATTTTGTATGGTTTTTTAATGTGCCGTTTAAGGCCTAAAAATATACAGCAGCTAGTGCATTAATTGCATAACTTCCATTTAGCAGAAGAGGTTGCATCACAGTGAGACAACGCGGAGCTGCACTCTACTTTATAGCTTTCAAGTCATTTACCTGAGAAAATATTAGTTTTGTACAGCATAGAGAGTTGCCGACTCGCACTTGATGGTTCCCTAAGATTCTCATTAGTGCATGTTTAGTTTTACCCTATTTCCAATTCTTGACCAGTGCTTGAGATTGAAAAATTGCTGAACGTTGCCTCCATTCCAGCATCCTTTTCTTTGTGAGTGTCCATTACTTTAAGCATTGATAGCCAACGCCTTCCTGCCATGGTTAAAAATTGACAGATTTGGATGTAAGCCTTTTTTGAAATTACTTAAAGACAGTTGGATTAAGAAAGACCTAAAGGTCTTACAGCATGGGTAACACGAGTAGGAATCCATGCCATCAAGGTGGGAACCGAATAGTAGGAGACCGAAAAATTACCATTATAAACAATGTAATTTTAGCAAGTTTAATTCACACACGAGGAGTTTAAATCCTTCTTGCAACAAATCCAAACGTCTTCTTTGTTAGCGGCTATGGCCATTCTATTCGATATCTTTTGGTGATTAAGGCACACTTCTCCCTTTGTATCGCCTGGCCTCCTTACAATTGCATCCTTAAGTATGTTTTCCGCATAGGTGTCTGGTTCATTGTTTTCCCTGTTTGCCTGAGTTGCGGACCATTTAGCCTTATTTGAGAGCTTATGGTGGAACACGTAGACTGAAAGGATCCCTTCAGTTATATATGCGATGAAAACCAACGTCCTTAGACAATGAAAGTTGTTACCATTAGACCTATTCATTAAAAGTGGTCAATTCAAATCAGAGTTCAAATGTGGGCAAAAAATGCTTCACTTCCCAAAGGTTTCAACGAGATTGATAACTTATACTTTTGTGATATTTTCACACAGCTTTTGAGCCATGGATTGAAGATGTGCTATTGCGGTTTTGGAATAAGAACCTTGAGAGACTGCTCTAGTGGGAGGGGATGTTAGCCAGAGAGTTTGTTTAACCACTTCTTGTTGTGCTCCCCGATTGCTAACAATAATTGTGCACTAACCAATCTTGTGTACAATTAGCATTTCAAATGTGCCCATCTTCGTAATTTCCATGTTCCATTCACCAATGAGTGTTGTTACTGAACTGCCTTGTGATTAAAAGTCACCAGTTTTCTTCCTTGCATTAAAGTACATTCTTACCTATGCAAATTGGTTATAATTTTAATTATAAACTTTCATGCTTGCACAATCATGTGAATTTAATTCATCTTTATTAATTCTGTAAATATTTGTGATTTCACATATGACCATTTCATTCTGTATGTACCCGAGATAGGAAAGGAGCTTATCTGTGCTTATATTCACTTAGAAATAATGAAAAATCCGCATTTGTATGCTTACATAAATTAATTACCCGAATCCACCAGAGTACTGTTTCATGTGAACCCCATTCGGTTTTCCTGAAGCAGAGAGGCAATACTAAAAAACACCGCTTAAACCAGTTGAATTTTACCTGTGACTTGGAAATCTACATAAAAGAGGAATTTCACCTAATGGAAAAATACCCATGGAAGTCACTATGCAAGCACTTGAAATGCCAATAAAAGCAATTTATTATTCTGTTTAATAAATAGCATTGGATCCGAGATTTTTCAGTTGCATATCTTATCCTTCTATTTAGCTAGTACGACCAATTTACACAAATTTAATGCTAAATATTAAAAATGCCAAAAGTTGGGCAAGTGAGGTAAAAATGAAAGACAGACCAGTAAATAATGTAGAAGGTTGACGTGGTATGTTTGGATCTTGGAAGACAAAGTTACTATTCAAATAAAAGCTTTTCCTTTGTAGAACAATTGAGAAAAGATTATCTCTGATTTAAATGCACATATTTTACAGGAATAAATTTGCAAGTGAGTTCCAACAACCAAATTCATCAAATTGGGATGTTAAAATGGTATGAAGAAGCACTATATGAAGTTCGTGTTTTAATAACGTTACTGCCACTGATCCTTATTCATGTTTTGAATCGAAACATGTGTACTTGCAACGTATTAAGTAGTAAAATATGATATCAGTCTTAAATTTAAAGTTCAACATCTTTATCCCCCCGGTAGAAGGTATTACAGCCACTTAAATTGCATGCTTTATTGTCAAAAAGTATCTGATATCTTTGCAACAAATAACTCAGGTTGACGATAAAATAGTGAAAGGCACTTTACTTGTTAGATTGCAACTTGTCGATTTTTTAAAAATATTTTTCAGACTTAAAAACCCAGTAATCTGTCCGGGAGAGGGTTAATAAATGCATATAAGTGCTCTGCAAAGGGTTCCCAAGTTCATCGCTAACTATTTCTGCGATTTGATGAAGTCATGAACTTGGAAAGGTAAATTTATCCCACATAAAAAGATTGTATCCTCTTAATTACAGATTTTCTAGGAATTGTGCACGAGGTGTAAGCGACAGTTTGGGTCTGATATAATTGCAGCTGACTACCTGCCAAACACCGTTACTCTTTTTGATAGCCATTTAGGCTTCAAAATGTGTTTGGGTTTTTCCATCTCGCGCAGAAATACACGATATCCTAACAATAGGGCACAAAATGCATCAAAACGGCTTTAGTTGAAGTCAAATATTACTCATTGTACTTGACGTTTTTTAAAAATAACTTCACGATTTCAGTCTCAAAGCTCACGACAATGGGGCTTAATGCATTAGCCAAAGAAAGCAAGGTCAAAACCAGCATCTACAGTCTGCAGA